AGAGAGAGAGAGAGAGAGAGAGAGAGAGAGAGAGGGAGAGTGTGTGTGTGTGTGTGTGTGTGCCCACGCGTGCATGTTTTTATGTGTGTATGAAGGCGGGAAGGAGGGAGGGAGGGAGGGAGGGAGGGTAGGAAGGAGTGAGAGAGAGACTTTATGTTGACTCTTGAGTGCTACATTTTTAGAAATATTTAGACAGCCTAGATGATATTCATAGAAGAGTCTCCTGGTTGATGGAGAGATTTTTAAACCATACTTTATGAAAAAAATGAGTGTGTGTAATCACACAAAGGAGACTCTGGGGGACAGGGGAGTACTCTAAAGATTCTGAAAGACTGTGTTGAAGAAAAGGTAATATAAAACCTTTTATTCTGCCTGGTGGTTGGTGGGTGGAGATTCCTAGAAGGCAGTTTTGAACTCTGTATACTAAAGGATTTTACAATATAGCATTCTTTGAAAATGAAGAGAATGCCTGGTGGTGTCAAGTTCTCCATCTGTGAGGTTTTTTATAATCCGAGCTGGTAATCACTTGAAAAAAATGCCTTCTTGTAGAGTGATTGGGTGTGTGTGTGTTTATATTTATAATTTAGGATGGAAGATGTATGAAACAGCTACCTTTTAAAATCCCTTGTAACCATGAAATTCCGTGAGCAAGTCAGAAGTCAGCTTTCATAGGAGTATAAATTAGCAAGAAACGTGGGCCACCTAAAGCACAGGGGCAGCTTGAGAATGTGCAGAAATAAGCCTGGAAGGCAAAAGAAGAGATGGAAAGATTCAGAAGATTCAAAAAACCTACTTTTTCTGTCTGATAGCTTTCCTTGCCATGAAAATGCAGAATTCTCTAACTTCTTCAGTTTTTGTTAATAGCTTTTACAGTTTATTTTTTTGTCTTTCTGCCTACATTGCCTAGAGATGTCAGCATGTGGGAATTTTTGAATCTATACATGTACTCATTTTTATAAAATATGCAATCTTTTATAATTTAATTATAATAGAGATGTAGCATTTAAAAAATAAAAATTTAAAATCCAACATTTTAAAATCCAAAAATAATATTTAAATGATAATTATTATAACATTTTGCTATAACTTTCTATCAGTTGGGAATATTGACTGATATTCAATAAAAATATCAGTTTGACTGTATTTTTATTCAGTTCTTGTTGAAGATTTGAGTGTTAAGGGGAGGAGGTGACTATTTCGTTTTCTCTCTTTCTCTCTCTCTCTCTGTAGAATGACTCTCTAGAGTTTGAGCACATAGGCTCCAGATCACAATTCTACTACCTCTATGCATCAGTTTTCTATCTTTAAGATATCATAATTTGATGCAAAGCTTATGAATCCCTAGTACATTGTGAGCCTACAATATATGTAGGTATTATTGCATATTATATTATATTCATTATATTATTATTATTATATTATAATGTCACAAATGCTCTTTGTGGAAAATATCAGAAAAGATAATGGAAACCCCAAATTTAAATATCCACATATGAAACAGTTCTGATAAAAATGAAACCTGTTTGAGGAATGGAAGCTGAGACTTAAAATCCACTTTAAGCTAAAACCATGTTATAAGCTGCACCCAAGCAAGCATAAATCATCTAAGAACCAATGTGACTATAATTATTTTATAAATTGTTTTGATTGTGTTTTGCTTTGACAAAGTCCAAATTGATTCTGACAATCATACAGATTCTCAATGACATTTCTGAAATTGAAATTGGGACCTAAGAGTTTCTAGAGTAAGAAATCTGGGCTCTGGCATGGTAGCTCAGATGGTTAGAGTCCTCCTAATACACCAAGGTTGCAGGTTCAATCCCTGGTCAGGGCACATACAAGAAGCAACCAATGAATGTATAACTAAGTGGAACGACAAATTGATGTTTCTCTGTCCCTTCCTCTCTCTCTCTAAAATCAATAAATTAAAAAAAATCTAGGGGCATCATGGAATCCCACTGGGTGAAAGCACAGCTGTGGGTGTGCAGGATGGGCTGGACAAAGAATGAACGTAGAGACCCAGGGTGGTGCTGGTAGTTGTGGCAATAATCTCAAATTTATTAAGTGATTATATTCTAGGTATTATGCTAAGCATTTTGCTTGCCTTATGTCATCTAAATCTCACTACAAACCTATGAGGTAGTTCTCTTATTGTGCCCATTTTATAGATTTAAAAAATGGCTCAGAGAGAGTACTTTCCTATCCCTTAGTGTCTATATTGTGTTTATGCACCAAGGTTCCATTTATAGTCTTTTAGCACTAGATTGGGAATTTTAAATTAATTTGGTTGCTGGTAAGATTAGAAAGGTTTCTGTTTCGTTGTTGCTGTTGCTTTGAAGAAGTTTATTTCTCTAGCCAAAATTAACACATATGCACTCACTCACTGACACACTAACCCTTACCTGAACTTTTTGACATGATAGCTTGGGTAATAAAATTAAGTCCTAGAAAGATAATATGACAGTCTTATACTTTACAAAGTGTTCTGCCCGATATTTCCAGTACCCACCTGACACCATACATAGTTATTGTAATATTATTCACTATATTCCTTATGCTGTACTTTACATACCTGTGACTTTTTTTCTAACTACCAATTTGTATTTCTCAATCCATTCACCTCTTTCACCACTATGCCATACACCTAAAACTAATACAAAATAATATTGAATGTCAACTGTAATTGAAAAATACAATTTAAAAAAGATAACATGATTTGTGATAAATGATTAAATTCTAAAGCCTTGAGAAGAATGTGCATTTTTGGAAATATTTATATTTTTAACAAGTGGGCAGGGTCCATATGTATTGGTGAGTTTGAGAAAAAACATTCATATATATGCAGACAAGTATTTCTTCTGTTATCCCCAAAAAATAAGGCAGCCCTCAAGTTAGAAATGTCTTTCTCTGTTTTTATAAAAAGTCTCGGGCTTTATAAAGGATGTCTGAAGCACAATGCTTTAGAATTAATCAATTAGGAGCATCAAAAGGGAACAGTAATTTTATCTTATCAGCAGTCTGTGGTAACGTCTTCTTAACTAGCGGGTTCACACCTTGGCATGCTATCACTAAAATTAGCTTTTCAGCACTAATTATTATATTTATTTAACTGAGCACATTGTGCAGCTCACAGATGATTCACACAGTGGGATTCTCATAAGACACAATAGCAAGGCAATTTCCTTGAAATACAGCTTGCTTTCAATACTTGCATGGGAGAGAAAACCTTTTATTACCAGATTCCTGTGGCACACCCTGTATGCTCAACTGTGTCTCTATTCAATTCAGGTTGTTTCCTAAATGTACGTAGCGAAACCTCCTTCTATAATACACACAGGAAATAACAGAATTACATTATGCCTCTCTTTTGCTCTGTTCCCTACTAAACCAGAGAACAAATGAAGTCCCTCCAGGAGGCCCTGCAAAATCAACTTAAAGAAACATCTGAGAAGGCAGAAAAGCAACAGGCTACTGTAAGTGGGTTTCTTTTTTGTGTACTCTGATTTGGGGCTGGGGAATTGGTAATTTTTCCCCCCAAAATCACTATGGAACCTGAACCTGTTTAAAAATAAAGTATATTGATTGAAAATTTGAGGTGCTGTAAGACCAACAGGAAACCAGTACCACTGAAAAGATAGTTTTTCACAGTTCTCGAGAGAGGAGGCCTGCCACATGTTCCTCATGAAACACCTGATGGCAAGCGAGAATGCGCTCTCAGGTGACACCAGCGCCATTACAGATAGGGATACTCACTGGAGGCTTTCACGACTCCGCTTCAAGTTTATGGCCTAACTTGCCGTGAGTGAGGCAAAATTAGTCTAAAGGCAAGAATTAGCTTCAAGCTTTGACTTTCACTAAGAATAAGGAATTAGGAGAGGAAACAAGCTGGTGGCGTCGGTAGTAGCTCCACTCGCTGCCTCCTGCAACCACATCAAAATCACAACTAAAATACAGAACCACCACACTGAGAACCACCACACTGACACCTGGCTGAACAGAAGCCCCACAACCAGGGAGCTGAAGAAGCACCGGGGAGGGTAGGAGGGGCGGGGACATGGGCGGGTTGGGGCTGAATCCCACAGATGGGGCCACGGGCCCACACCTGATGCATCGGGGTAAACCCAGGAGGGAATCTCAGTGGTGGGGGTTTCCTGGAGGAGTGAGGGGTCCCAGCCCCACAGCAGGACCCCAGCCCAGGGCTCCAGAGCCGGGAAGAGACGTCTCCACAGCTTCAGGCTGTGAAACCAGCGGGGACTGTCCCTGAGGGTCGCGGAGGCTGCGGGAGCCCCAGCAGCTCCTCCTAAAGGGCCGCGCACGGACTCACTCGGACGCTCCCTCTG